GCCTTTCTCAAGCTTACTTTTTGGCGGGCTATAATCCTAAAAGAACATATAAGCTAGACACATTGTACTTAAATTCAAGATATAATTTATGGCCAATTGAGAACATGCCAACAAACTATTTATCGAAGGTTTATATACTCATTCTCATTCATGTTACTCTTTGTTTTCGGATGATGTATAAGCTTACATACTCCAAAGTTTATATAAACTAAATTACTTTTAACTAGCGTATAAAGTAATGTTAAAACTTTGGAAGTATGGAATATTTGTACCTTTCATAAGATGTAAATTAAAATAAAACAAGGTATGGACTTTAGTAGTATTATTATTTAATTTTCACATGAAAAACAATGACACATAAATACATAATGAACACAAGAATGTTTCATGGAAGAGGGTCAAGATCCATGTCAACCCCACTAGCTGGAGGAATGAAAGAAAACTAAAACTAGAATTATAAATTATAAATTATAAATTAAATTAAAAAAAAGTATTCAATGAAAAGACAGAAACCCACTATCTATTTAGTCATTTCTTTTAGTATACTTATCATTATCTTGTTTGAAAAAATTCAAATCATTTGAATTACAAGCACAAGTCAATGAAAAGAAAGGTGGTCTTCTGTGGTCCTTAAATCTTCAAACCCCATTATCATTCCTTAACATCTTTTTTTTTATATAAATAAATAAAGAAAAATCAAATAAAATTATTTAAGCAATTTAAACGACAAATCCTTATTAATAAATATTTAAGGATTCATTGTCTCTCTCATATATTATTAAGCTTACCGTTATAATTTATTCTCTAAAATATAAATATATAACAGACTTAGGGTTAATACCCTTTTTGGGCGGGAAAAAACTATATAATAAAATGGATTTGTGCAGTCCAAAAAAATAAACAAAGTAAATTGGTGGAAATCTTAGTTGGCTTTGGTGGGTGGAGTGATACATAGGGGGCTAAATTGTCACATTTGGTGGGTGACTAAGTGGCCGTATTATCTAAAAAGACAACCCTATATCTAAACTATATGATATAAATTTTAATTCAACGTATAAATTGTAGATTTTGAATTATATATATTTTTAGTATTTATTGGCAATAAATTATGAACAAACTGTTGGAGATATTTTTATAAAAAAAGATTGAACAAAAGTCAAAAGCAATGGAAGCAGAAGGTTTAGCATTGCCGCATTGCCTTAGTCAACCTCAATATTATGTTGGTTGACTTTTCAACAATTGTTATTTTAATATATGCTGACTTAAGAAGATGAGATTTGTCCCATTAGACAGTCACTAAAATTTATCCATCACATCACATCATACCTTAATTTACATTCCAACAATTATTACCCCTCCTTGTCAGTGCTTTCTGACATAATCACATTCTAAACACTAAACTTAAAGTAATTAAACACATTAAAACACCTTTCTAAATATCTTACCTATCACTTACAAACATTAATACCGTCTCTTTCTTTCATTTATTGTCTCCCATAAGCTTCAACCTAATAATCATTCTTTCTTCTTAAATACCAAAACTTTAAATAACTAACAAACTCTATAATTTTTAACATATTCAAATATAAATAGAAAATAATTCAGCATTCAAATGAATTCTTTGAGATAACTTTAAAGAAACATAAGAATGTGCCAAGGTTGACTTTTTTTTCTTTTTCTTTTTCTTTCCTTGAGTTTTACCTCATAAAATTTCCATATTATTTGTTATGGAGTTTTTAGAAAGAGAGAGAAAAAACACAAATTAATAAAAAGTGAGTTTCATAATTGGTCTATATCAATATTCTCTCCTAATTATATTTTGTATTTCTTTATTGTCAATAATCCAGTAATAGGACAAAATAAAATTCAAATATACCGTGTAACCAAATATTATTCAAAACTTAGAAATATACAAATTGGTAGGTAAAGGTGGTATTTTTAAAATTAATAATAATAATAATAAATAAATAAATAAAGCAAAATAGTAGAGGTTTTGTTTGATTATTAATAAAGTTTTGAGTGGGTATTTAAAAATTTAGTTATGGGCTCTTCTTTTGAAATCCTTCTTTACTCACTACTCTTCACTCGCTTTGGTGTACCCTTTTGTCTCCTCCCTTCCTATGGGTATAATCCACTAATCTCTGCCTATATTTTCTTCTTCTTTATTTATTATATTAATTATAATATAATGTGCCTCACCCTCACCACATTCTTATGTCACCCTCCTCCGTTCGCCTATTTATTTTTCGCTCATAAGAATGAAGACCATCTCCATAGATTAACACATTCTTTCCAACATGTTTTGTCTTCACTCACATGCATCTTAGAAAAATTTCTAATTTAATCACCCAAAATAAAGATGCACTTGAGGCTTTACAAGTGGTATCACTTATTTTCAAGTCCACGTGGATTGAAGAGGGTAAGATCTCACCTCGGACATTAATAATCAAACAAAATATATAGGAAGTTAACCCATATTCAATCATTACAAGCTACCATTCACTATGCATTATTAGTGATTTTTAACTGGCAAACTCTTATTGACATTACATGGTATTAAAAAAATTTAATCTCACAATTTGACTTTGTATCAACGTGTGGGTGTGTGTGAACTGAAATGGGTTTTTCAAACTTAGAAAAAAAAAGGCATGATGAGAGAAATAAGTGTGGGTTGAAGCTTGAAAACATTACAAAAACAGTGATCTGTCATAATTTATTTTGTATGGCACTACTCGTTAGTGGGGTTATGATACTCTTATTATTAGTACACCACAGCTTCCCCTTCAAACAAAACCAATATGTTTATGTTGCTTATGATTTGTTCATTCATATTGCCAAATATTTTGTCGAATCTGCATCAAACTAAAGTGTGATTCACATGTGCGTTGAAGTAATAGTATAGATGTTAGTATGGATGATACACAGAAACAATCCCAAATTGGGATTGATTCTCAAAGTGAGAGAGAGGGTTTGTTTGGGGAGAATAATGAGAGAGTATTTTCATTCTTCTTCCAAATAATGGCTTCCAATAATAGAACTTGATTTCACACTTGAATTTGTTTTTCTCTTCACATTTTTGTGTTGCAAATTAAAGCTTGTTCTTGAAATGGGTTTAAAATGGGTTAGTGAATTTAGTCGAGGCCAGAAGAGTTAGGTGTATTTGAAGTAAATGTCTAGTCAATAGTGCAATCAATATTAGAAGTGTGACGTATCATGTTCATGATTCAAAATCTAGATTCCCTAGCGACATGGTAGCATGTTTAATCATAAAGTTCTTATGATTGAGCACGGAAAAAGGAAAATACACCTGGAGTATAAATAGTAACTTTCATTTCCTTTAAACATTTCTTAGTCATGCTATCTTTAAGATCACTCTCATTCAGATGTAATCTTCGTTTTTTTTTTTTTTTTTTTTTTTATAAATAATTTTTCAAGAGGCTAAAAAATTCAAGATTATATGTTAAATGAAAATTGACACCAAAATAAGATCTGAAATTAGTATGAGAAAGGTAGCAAAGAATTTTTAATTTAGGCCAGAAAAAAGGGAAATTAAATATATTATATAATTATATACGGAGGAAAGTCATTTTACTGGCTCTGACTTGTATGGTGGGAATGAGAGAGAAAAGAGAGTAGGTCCCACGTGTCTACGCACGCGTGCACGCCGTGTGGACCCAAATCGTTGACCTTTTCTTTTTCATATTTTTATCTTTTCTACAAAAATGAGTTAAAATTATATATAATTTTTACTCGAACAACTCTTCAATCCCTCTCTCACTTCCTCCTAAAATATAGATGAGTATTTAAAATTATAAGCGACTATCATTTTATGTGTATTATTTCTAGTAGGACCTAATTTTCATAATACTCCATTCTGCCCTACTTTCTTTTACTCTATATACGATTTATGCATGCACACATGAATCCATTAGATGGGCTTATTAACATCCCTCTAGGTTTGGTCATGAGTTAGCTCGTGGGTGTCGACAACCAACAGAAAAAGAAAGGAATACAAATAATTTCATAGTATAAACATATAACATGTTAGATAAGCAATAAATGATCCTATAACATATAACATGCGTAAGGTTTCACGTAAAACATCATGATTTCTATACTTATCATGTCTACATTCTTCTCTAGATGTCTATGTTTGTATTTCTGGTGTGTCAGAAGAGTAATATGAATAGTGTAGTCATTCTGAAACATAAAATTCATTCAAGCTCAATTTGAAGGTAAAGCAAGGTTAGGGTTTTATACGTGTAGCAAGGATTTTCCCGAATTTATTCTTTCCAAAAGTAATAAGCATTTGTAGTTACACAATTGAATTGCTTTTTGAATAAGTAATATTCTTATATTTGTGAGGCAGGAAACTCTTTTGGGCAACTTAGTAGGATTTTAATAAATAAAAAAAATATATATCATTCAATCTTTCCCCCTACTATATTTTGGTCTTTTTCCCCCTTCCAATTAGGATGATAATTCTAAATTAAGAAGCCTTTTAAGTTTAAAGTTTAATTTTAGAACTTTTATATATATATATATAAAATGGATTTAAATGGTTAAATTATACCTTTCAACCATATGCTATATTCTTTTTGGTTATTAAATTTCATTCCTACCCATTAATGCCATATATTTCAATTCCCTATATATATATTTTTTTACTTACTAATTTCAATATTTATCGTCATTAATGTAATCAACCTCCATTTCAACCATAATAAGTGCAAGTTTATAATTTTGGTAGGTGAGATGAATTATTATTTATTTTTTAAATACTTTTATAGGTCAGTAGTCATATACTATTTAAATAAAATAATAAAAAAGATGTTATTAATTATTAAAAATAAATCAATAATTACAGGGAATAAATTCCAATAAATTCAAAATATTACCCATGATAATATTTCAACAAAAGAAAGAAAAGGAAATCGTCATAATAAAGGAATTTAATAAATTCAACTCCAAATTGACCTTTCCTGAGTCTAATCAACTCTCCCTGAAATTGTCAACCACATTTTTTTTTTTTTTTTCTGGTTTTAATTTTGTTTATCTTAGTTGCTGTGCAAGCAATATAAATAGCGATATGCCGCGAAGCGTTTTCAATCGTTTTTTTTTTTTGTAGAGAGAAATTCCACACACAAACACATAGAACAATTCCGAAAGACCCAAATCCCAAATCATCAAACTGGGTTTGAGATTCAGAGCTTCAGTAGCCATGGCGGAGGAGTTTCAGAGCACTGGAAACTGGTGGGACGCCTCTAGAAGCCGCTACGAAGCAGGAATATCCCCTTCTTCCTCCGCCATAACTACTTTCGTCGACCACCCCGACGCCGGCGCCGGCGCAGGCGACCCCAATTTGCACATCATGGGCTTGGGCCTCGATTGGAACCAACCCCTCTTGTAAGTGTAATCCCTTTTGCTTTTTAATTGACGGCGGCTGTGGGTATTATTAATTTTTTTTTTTTGTTGTTGGGACAGTCGGGGCGGCGGAGAGAAGGGGGCGGAGAGCAGTTTCCGGTCGATGCTGCAGCCGGATAATATGAATTTGAATATGCAAGAAACAGGGCAACATCACCAACACGAACAACAACAGATTCAATGGATGAGATCGGAGAAGCTATATTCAGGGGAATCTCCAGCGACTGAATTCAAGCCAATAAACAGAGGGTTTTCATTAGATCACCACAACCAGCCTCCGCCACAGTTCAGCCCTTCTCACTACAGCACCGGCGACAGCACCGTCACCAGTTTTCCAATCGACAGCGCCGCCGCCGCTTTGTACGTAAACTCCACAACACTATTACAAGGCTTATTAGCCGGCGGAGGCAGCGAGCAGCAGCAAGTCTCAGGAGCGGGTATGAACTTCCCATACAATACCCATTTCGGGATGAACTCCAGCGAGTTAATGGCGGCAGCATCATGGTCTAACTCCACAGTACCTCCGTTCTTAAGAAACTCACCACCAAAAGGAGCAGCACCGACGCCAGCACAGAGTCAGTTACAGTTTTCTAACAACACAGCATTCTGGAACGCGTCAGACATGAAAGACGCAAGGGCGAGTTATGTTCCGGCGTCGTACAACGGTGCAGCCTTGGCGGGCGATAAATCAAAGGTAAAAACAAGAAAAAGTAATTGGTTGGGTTATGATTAGGGTTGTGAACAATGATGATTGAAATTGAAATTGAAATTGGTGACAGAGTACATCAGAGGGTGGAAAGAAAAGTGGGAATGATCAGAATCAACAACAAACGGGTGGTGGTAAAAGGCCTCGAAATGAAACGGCGCCGGGGTTGCCAGCGTTTAAGGTCACTGAACTGAATTGAGTTATAGAGAGATTAGTAAATTGGGAAAAAAGAGGAAAACAGAAGAGATGAAAATGGGGTTGGGTTTTGCAGGTGAGGAAAGAGAAGATGGGGGACAGAATCACTGCGCTCCAACAACTGGTCTCACCTTTCGGAAAGGTAACATCATTACTCAAATTAAACTTAATTCAAAATTTTAGATAATGAATGATATGAAATGAATGTTTGTGATTTTGTGGCAGCAGACTGATACCGCTTCAGTGCTGTCTGAAGCCATTGAATACATAAAGTTCCTCCATGAACAAGTCAGTGTAAGTGCTCACTCATTGTCTTTTTTTGTTTTAAATTTTGAAAAACATTGTAATTATTTTAAAAATTCAGGTATTGAGCACTCCATATTTGAAGAGCGGAGGTGGTGCAGTCGTACAGCAGCAGCAGCAGAAATGGTGTGAGAAAAGGAAGGAAGGAGAAGGAAAGGAAGAGGATCTAAGAAGCAGAGGGCTTTGTTTGGTTCCAGTTTCAAGTACATTTCCGGTGACCCACGAAACCACCGTCGATTTCTGGACTCCAGGCTTCGGAGGAACCTTCAGATAAGACACCAAACCCCCTTACTATTATTATTATTATTAATACTCGATTAAAACTAGTACATATCTTATCATAACCCTCCATACCAACATTATTATTATTATTATTATTATTATTATTCCTGGATTTTGATAAGATCACCCGGGGAAGTGTACTAGTTCTTTCTCAAATACATATATAGTATCTATATTTCTCTCTCTTTTATTTTATTTTTTTTTAATTTTTTGTGTACTTAATTCAAAATAATTACAACTCAGAAAAGAAAATATAAAAAAAGGAGAAGGAATATTTGTGATTTTATTTAGAAAAAACATCTCCCTTTTTTTCTTTTTTTAATTAATTATTGTTAGTTAATACATTCTCTTTTCATCGAACGGCCACAATTAATGGCTTCCATGTCATTATACTCTATGATTTGAAAAGAATAACAATTTAGGGAAAGGCCACGTGTGTTGTAATAGATTAAAATTGTAACTATTTCTCAATTAGTGATATTGTAAAGCGTGGAGGGGTTTAATTAATAGTTAATGTTGTGAATTTAATAATTTGATTTGAAATATGAAAGAAGTAATGGTTGAGTATTGTAATAACAAGAAGAACTGCAGCTGCTACTGTTCATGTAATTATAGCAACTAAGTTACAATCATTTCCATAAAGAAAACTAATTTTTATCATACTCATTAAACAAAATCTATTTACGGTTATTCTTTGAAAAACAAACTACTATTATCACATCTAATAATACCAAATTACCAATTTTCAAATCATTTTTAAAATCTTATATTATATGGGATATGAAATTCCCATGTTTATAATAGACACGTTTTAAAATAGTGAGGATGACGTGACAGTAATTTTGAAATCATTATCTAAATTTAGTTTTTATTAACATCTCAGGCATTTTTTTTTTTTTTTTTTGTCTTTTAGTTTAAAGATCTAGCATGTCAACAAAAAGAAATATAAACAAAGTTTTCTGATTACATTTGATTCATCAAATTATGTGCTTATCTAATAATTAGATTGGTGTTAACCACAAATCTGTAGAACAGTTTTCAATAAAGACAAATTTTAAAAAAGCTTTTGCCTAACGTTATTTCAAATTATAAAATTCCATCCAACCGTAATACATAGCTTCACTTTTCTTTTCTCTTACCCCTCCATGCTTCATTTTTAGGGTATCAAAGACAAAAAAAATCAGCTTAGTTGACAACGAAATGATTGGTAGATTGTGAAAAAACAAGGGGTTATTGGTCTTTCCAAAATTACCAAAAGGCTTCCGTCACAATATTGATACGGTTCACGAAGCTGCTCTGTAATCAAATGGTCAAGGAAAGAATAGAAAGCTGCTGAGAAAATTTGAAGCTAAATAGCAAGTTTGTATCATTTAAAACAACTCTATTGAGAAGCATACCATAATACAATTCTCATAACCAAACAACTCAATGATTATTGCAAGCAAATACAAATTCGAATGGTGAAAAAATAGGAAATCGATGGATTTTCAAACAGTATCTCTTTTGTATTGAAGTCTAGGCTGATCCCTTGAGCTTCTTTGTGATGGTAGCAAGGTACTTTCCTTGGTGGAAGGCTTGCTCCAACTCAAGAGTGGTTGGTTTTCTTGAGCCATCACCTGCGAATGTTCCAGCTCCATAAGGACTTCCACCTTTAACGTGCTCCATCTCGAACATGCCAGCACCGAAAGTGTAACCAATGGGAACAAATATCATTCCGTGGTGAACCAGCTGAGTGATGGCAGTCAACCTATAGAGATGCATAATTGTTTTCAGCTCAGGAGAATCCTCTTATGGTTGAATTCATATCATTTGATGTGCTTTGTTTATCAAAGTAAAATAAATGATATGATGAACTTACGCGGTAGTTTCCTGTCCACCTCCCTGGGATCCAGTACTGTAAAAGATACCAGCAGGCTTGCCTGCAAGTTGTTGAGTTCTCCAAAGACCTCCAGTTGCATCCAGAAATGCTTTGAATTGGGCAGCCATCATTCCAAATCTAGTAGGGAAGCCAAAAACTAAACCATCGGCCTCAGGGAGTTCGGTCGGGGTGATAATTGGCACATCACTCTTTGATGGTGCGCTCATCTTGCCAAGGACATCCTCAGTTAATGTTTCCGGTACCTAATAAGAGTTTATCAGGCAAGGAATTGCAGGACGTTATGGGACAAATATCTTGGTGGTTTTTCAGACGTTACCTGCCACAACTTGGCTTCAACACCTTCTACAGATTCTGCCCCCTTCTTAATCTCTTCTGCAAGTCTCTCAACATGTCCGTACATGGAATAGAAACTGTAGCAATAGCAGCAAGTTAATTTTATAGCTATAGGAGCCCAGGGTTACACAAAATATCTAGGCACAGTCCAGCTTTTTAGAACTCAAGGACACAGTCCCTCTTAGATAGCTTGTGTTCAAGTAAGGTCGTAACAAAGTCCCAATTACAGCACCAGAATATGAGATGATGGGTTCAAGTTCACCATAATATAATATCATTGTTCTTAAAAGTTGCACAAGAGCGGACAAGGAACTCAAACTAATCAAAGTGAAAACCAGTGCTCATACATGCCAACACTAGGCTTTGACCCTTAAGAACGAGTTCATCAACACTTATAAATCAATAGTGCATAAAATCGAAGTTTGAGAGGTAAAGACGCCTGGAAATTATCCGCATCTGAAGAATAGGAAATAAGCTAAGAAAAAACGTAGATTACATATGTGAGCCAGAGATGGCACTGTTAATAACTACTCAACACAGGGTCATGTTTCTTAACTAGCAGAACTCTGTAGTTTGGCAAGTGTGTACACATTCAAATTCCGAAATTTGTTCAATAATTCTAAGAAAACCACGGACGAGGTGTCCTAAATGGTTTTCCAGCAGGGAAAATGTTTGCAAGACTACGAATCTGTTTCAGACTACAAAGATAAACTAAAACAGATTCCATTATAAAAGATGAAACATTTAAAACTAAAGTAGTCAAACTTTTAGCCATTGTAGAACAGAGTCTCTTGGTAATCCAATTGTTCCAGGGTTACAAACTAAAAAGAAGACAATTTCACGAATCAAATGGAAACCTTTGGGAAAACTGAACACTGATTCTGAAATATCCGGTGAAGCATTGATGAATACAAGACAATCAAGAAACCCTTTAAACAATAAAAATGAATATATTTTGCAAGACTGCAGATAACATGAATGTTCGACCTTTTATAAATAACAATGTTAATAAAGGACTAACAGAAATAAATTATTGATTCTATAACATTCCTGGTTAGTTTCGAAAAAGAAAAAGGCAACATAAAATTTCACTTCCGGACGAATCCTACAGAATTCATCAGCGTATACATAACATAAAAACACCAAAAATACAATGCAAACGAAACCGGATTTTTTCTCTCAATATCATAGTCAAATGAATCGTAAATCGCAGTGAGATCAACTATATTCAACCAAAATACAAAGAAAACAGGATCTGGAACCAACAATTAATCAAGAAACACCAAAAGATATCAGGAAAAAACTGGCAAAATGGAAAGGAAGGATGAAATCAAAGAACAAAACGCAAACGAGAAAGCGATCGAAATGCGAAACACAGGCCAAGTACATAAGAGAAATGGAAACAAATTCATGAAATTGCAAGAAAAGAAAAAAGAAAAAGGAGAGCAGAAGTATGCACATACACAATATAGAGTTTGATTGCCATGGATGCAGAGGGTTTGAGGTCGAATTTTCTGAGCAATGAAATTTTGGTTAATGGGTGAGGGTGATGAAGTTTGCGAAGCAAGGGGGCATATATATAGGTGCAGGATCCGCTTCGCCAGCTTAATTTTTAAAAACAACAATAATTTGTCCACAATTGTGTGCTTGGATCATCTTTTTCAAATGTATTGGTACTTTTATTTACCATCAAGTTTTCACCGCATTTATTTCCCAAAAAAGGAATTATATTAAAATTACTGTAAAAGAACTTTGTTTTTTTTTTCCATTTAAGGAATGATTCTAAAAAAATGTTAACCCAATTAAAGACGTAATTAAGAAATACTAATTTAAGAAATAAACAGAAACGGTGTCGCTTGGAGGAATGAAATTTGAACTCATGAATAATAATGATGGAAGGGTGGTGTCACGCCCTCATCATCATCACTCCTCCTTACAAATCTCATTGCCTCTAGAACATTCAGTTTTTTTTTTTTTTTTTTTTTTTTTTTTTTTTTTTTTTTTTTTTTTTTTTTTTTTTTAATTTTTTTTAAAGGTTAAGTTGAATTTTTGAAAAATAAAAAAAATTGAGTCGATTCACGGATTGAAACTTTTTTGGTCGGATCAACCCAATCAACATAAGGTAAAATTATTTAAAAATTAAGAATTATTAATATATATTAAATATTTAAACGCTATAAAATTTTAGTTATTAATATGAATGGTAGATAGGTAAGATTTATTTTAAATAATAATAATAAAAAAAAAACCTCAGACAATCTAATCTAAATGTCTAACTTAAGTACATTCCTCTTTTTTAGTTTGACTTTTGACTACCTTGTGTTTTCATATCTATATTTTTAAGAATTTTTTAAAAAAATTACTCATTAATTTATAGGTAAATCAATATATTCACCTATTAAATTAAATATATACAATCTCATAATTAATTAAGGTCCACCTTACGATCATGGTTATTTTTAAGACCCATATGGATCGTAGGCGTAAATTGAGATACAAATATGTGAAGTCAAATTAAGATGTGAAATTAAATAAAATTGACTGGGTTTTGATTCCGCACATGCATTCACACCAATATGAAAGTGAGCACAAGGATTTGACGGTGGAGATGTGTTCTTTTTATTAATATACAAATAAATTGATTGAAAATTCTCTATTGAGCGTCGTGGCGTTCGGCCGCCCCGTCGGAAGTTGTTAGATGGATCATATTTCAACCGTCAATTTTGCCTGGTTTTTTTTCCCACAATAATTTCTGAACTACTTTAAACATATATATATATCTATATATGTATGAAATTCACAGGCTCATGACTATTTAAAGAATCTCCTATTAGCTTTGGTGTTTTTAAGAAATATATATTTTCAATAATTAGGCATCTATGTTACATGATAATATGATGCTGACAATACATCATACATAATAACTAAATATATTTA